CGCCGTAATTTGAAAGAGCGTTTAACTGAAAAACCAAGGACGAACACATTCTCGCAGCATCGGTGTATCAGTGCATTAAAACGTGTTCTCTTTTGTCACCTGGTTAAAGCAGAGCGCTGCCCACGCGAGAAGACGCCACGATTCCCTCGAGAATATTAATGCATCCGTTTCATCTCACGCATTACGTGTCCTCGGCTGGCAGCGTTAAACACAGTCTGGAATTTTTACCTCTGAAAAGAAGACGCGGTGTATCTCTCGCGAAGCTACATAATTTTGTACAAGATTGGACCGTGAGCTTTTCGCGAAACCCTTGGCGAATCGAGCACTTGATGGTTTAATCCGTACAAGGGAGACACCAGCCTAAAGCCTGAACAGATTTCGATAAGATTCGACAAGGAGACGAATCGAGACAGAATTGCATCCCGAGGAAGGACATAAGCTATATTTTATTTTGATAAAAATAAGGTTTCAGTTCGAAATCTAAAAAGTTATAAATTAAGCGGGAAGAAAAGTGTTGCTTGGGTACTTTATCGGCGTACGTTGCCCAAATATACACTCCGGGACAAAAAGATAGCACACTTTAAAATTAACATAATTTTTATTTATTTAACATTACAACCAAGGTTTTGTTTTTATACATTCTTGCAAAATACCTCTATAAACATACACAAATAAAATTGGATCGAATTTCGCCATTCTATACAATTTTATTAAAAAGAAAAGAACTTTTAAGGAAATATAGTGGGACGAAATGATAGCACGTTTAACTTAAGATTGTGTATAACAATAAATCAACGAATGATATTTAATGCTTAATATCTTATGCCTTCTCCTTTACATTTAATAACAGCGATCATTCTCTTTGGCAAAGATTTATAGAGGTATTTAATAGTTTTTTGCTTTAATTGCTCCCATTCATCTTGAATACACTTTTTTAATTCGGCAATATTTCCAAATTGTCTGCCATTTCCATATACAGCTCAGGCAAGATTTCCCCAACAATTTTCAATAATATTAAGGTCGGGTGACATTGCTGGCCAATCCAAAACGCGAATTTTTTCTCGAGAAAAGTATTCTTTTACTACTTTTCCAGTGTGTACTGCGGCATTATCCTGCTGAAAAATAAACTTCTCTCCAGCAATTCTGGTAGCGTACGTGTTTATTTGTTCCTTAATCATTTCTAAGTACATTTTGCTATTTATTTTTCCTGTTATAAATTTGATTTCCATTTTACCATAGTACCCGATACCGCAGCAAATCATCACGCCACCACCTCCCATTTGCCGACGACTCAAAAACTGTTTCTCTTTTCGCATATCGTGAAAATAGTAACTCAGACCATCAGGTCCATGTAAGTTAAACCTCTCTTCATCAGTAAATATTATTCTTCGCCATTTCTTTCGCATACGAATATTCTTTTCCGCAAAATGTAATCGATTCATCTTATGTTGCACAGTTAACCAAGGCTTTTTCTTCAATTTCCTTTGTGTTATGTATTTGCAATTTTGTAAAACACGTCTCACATTCTTTACATTAGTGTCTACACCAACATTTTGAGCTATTCGCCTTGCAGTCATCTTAGAATTTGATGCTGCTCTTAGTATTGCACGTCGTTCCCGGGCATTTAGACTTCGCGGACCCATTTTTGCACAATATTTCGCCTTTTTTGAACAAATATACAATACGAAATAACATCACAGACTTTATTAACTATGTTTCGGGGTCAATGTTCGCAATCTGCGAACTTCAGTGTAACTGGAAAGCGTAGATTTACTACACGTGCTATCATTTTGTCCCGCTTGCGAACAATAATATTTACGTTTTTTGTGTTAGAATCCTGTAGAAGTATATGTTGTGGACGATATATCGTAAATTATATACACAGATATGCTCTGAGTTATCAGTAAAAGAAAATATGTATCTTAATCAGCTTTTAACACAAAATATGGGAGAATATAAGGTGTGCTATCTTTTTGTCCCGGAGTGTACATACTATAGATAATTTCAGCAAAATCTACTCTAAAAATATCTAGGAATATCGTCTAATTATTTCTTCTCCTAAAATTTATTAATAAAATAAATACACGAAGTTTTATTTTGAATTCCTGAATACTTATTACACAGACTGTAATTACTCAAATTCGCGTATATAATTTTCAATTCAGTTACATTCACTAACCCTCGAATAACACGAGATACGTGAACAATATTCTTCTTTACACAAAGAAAAGGAAAATGCAGAACGGAGAAGAATCATTTAAAATGAGACGTGGATGCATTCTCGCCAGGCTGCAACTGACCGACGTAGATCTCTTCTTTGTTTTTCTTTGTTCGGCGTAGCTGACGCGGATGGAGCGAGTCATTTAGAATGAGAATAGAGTATCCCACGCGGGTGAAACCGCGGGGACAGCTACTAAGTAATAAAATTGAGTACAAAAGTGTCAATGGCACCATTCGGCATTCTTACCTGCTGAATTCACAACAACAACAATTGTTTCCAAACAATAGACTCTGCGAGACCCGAGCACGCGATTTTCCGCGTTCACCCTTGACCTTATCACGAGAGATCTACATTAGAGCCAGGTTCAAGATCTGAGACGTGTTCTTGCTGGCATTCTCGTCGAGTAAACGTAAAAGAAACAAAGAGGGGAGGAGGGTGAGCAGCTGCCCGTTTCGTTCCGTTTCTTTTGTAGATTACTCGCGTCGTATCGGACACATAGGAAATAAGATGTCGAGCGACAGTCGTGTGACGTAGCTGGGGCCTTTTCTCACCCCCCGGTCGAGACCCCTTTTTCTTCCAGTTTTCTACCTTCCACGTGGTCGGGAACCCCTCGTCCCGTTCGTTCGTGAGCAAACCCCCGCGTTGGTATGTATTTACGTGGCACCATCGTGCGAACGCGTACATCGGCGTGTCTCTGTCTTTACTTTCCCACGGAGTCCCTTAACCCTTCAACCTATAACAACGTGCGGGGCTCGTGGTACAGAATTTGAGTCGAATGATGCAGGTAATTTTAAATTTTGCGCCGCCCTCGAAAAGGTCGCATTGTATTTAATATGCTGTATTCAATAATTTAATAAAGTTCATCACAGAGCGGGTGAGTAATAATGAAGTTTAAATAGAAATTATTTCGTACTTTTCACTGCATTTTCTCATACATTTAAGCAATTATATTTAGAGCTCGTGGATATTCGGATGAATTAACTAGAAATTGTTTCGTACTTTTTAGCGCGGTTTCAATGTTTTTCGAAGTTGGTTATATTTTTTCTTTTTTCAAAAATTAATTTATATCACACTTTTTATTTGAATTTGTCGCTGAAAACAGACAAGAACAGTTCGTTCTAAATGTTCATCTTTTGAAATTTGTCGCTGAAAGCAGACAAGAACAGTTCGTTTTTGGAATTTATAAATCATGCATTTGTTTCGAAGTTACGATCGTTCGACATCAGCGACTGTCCGTGGATACCGAAGTAAGATAAATAGTAGTTATTACGATTGCATTATATCATTATTAGGCGTTGCACGGGGAGTCCTTAGCGCAGGGGAACGGTTGGACGACCAAAAGAAAGGGAAGCTAGCGATTTCGAGAAAGAAACGAAAACGAGCACCGGAGAATTCGTGAACGAGAAAGAGATGCAGTAAAAACGAGGATGAGAGAACGAAGTCGGCCTCAACATGGCCGTCGAACGATAACGGCCCGCTGATAAGGGCCTCCACTCTTCGACGCTTTAATATCTCTCCCGCGCCTGCCTTTTTAATTGTCTCTCCAGCGATAATGGGCGGCCTCCGCGGCTCGGGCTTTCGACGGATAAATGTGAAAAGAGGAACAGGAAGATGAAGTACGAGACGAAGAGAGGTAGAGGAGCAAGAGAGAGACCGAGGGCGCAAGGAAAAGAAATCCTTCCGGGACGCGATGCACCGGTGGTTCGCGAAATATGCGAGGGGAAATGAAATTCGCATATGCATTTGATAACTACTGGGACACGGAGAGTTTTCCTTCTTCCGACTGGCTTTTCTATTCCTCGGCCAGAAGAGTTTCCGAGTTACTTAGGAGAATTTCAGTCGACCGGGAAAGATGATTATCGGAGAATTTTAGCTCAACGGCTGTGTCAATCTCCTGGAAGGAATAATCGTCGAGCGGAGAACAGTTTTGCCGATCTACATGCATTTTATCCTAGACCCAGTAAAGCTAAGTCAAGTTGCCCCCGTGATATCTTTTGTGACAGAATCGGAAGTAACTCAATTGTATTTGTTCATAATCGATGGCTCTTTTTGTTATGCTTATCGTCAAAAGAATAGTGAAAAAGTATAAAAGTAATCCACGCAAGAAGTGGCGCACACAATAGATACGTGCAAGGGAGTAGCATCCCTTCCTTGCTACGAGCATTCGTTTCTTAACCCATTCAACATTCACTTACTTCGCACTCCGTGCAGACCAGTGTTTCTCAATTTTTTTTATATAAACGCACACATTGTTAGATCCGCTTCTTAATTCACCCCTTTGAAATTTTTAAAAGTTTAGAATTGCGTGATGGTCCCTAAAATAATGCTGATTACGTTTAAGTTAGGCAGAACAAAAATGAAATGATATTTATTATGTCTAATTTTAACTTAGCATACAATAACAAGCTGCATGAAACCATTTTAAATGAAATTCAATCAATTAATCATTTCAAAGAATGAAATTCTTAAACTTCAATGAAGTTATAAAAATAAATAATACATAAATGTTTGATTACGTAATTTTCAATAGTGTGGAAAGAAAATTTAATCACAGTAGAAATGTTCAAGAATATTGGTCTGCTAATCAACGTGTTAAGATGTCAATCGCCTACGTTGAGAAACAATGGTGTAAACGGACCGCGTCTTTATTCAATGTGACAACCAGTTTTGTAGTCCAGGTAAAATGGGTTAAGTATTGAAATCCTTTATATGTAAATAATAATCCGAATACTAGGATATTTATTTACATATAAATATAATTGATAATTATAATAAATACCTGTGATGAAAAACTTCTTTGGAAAGTAGTTGTGAATTTGTCTATGATAAGTTTGCGTGACTTACCTGAAACATAAAAGAAACACGGAATTAACGACAAGAGAACAAGAATTTTATCATCGATTAAATATAAAGTATAGTTATTTCACTTATCGTTCTTCAACTACTTGCAAGTAAATTTGTGAAAAATAAATTATATGTACTTCATTACTTTATCTTTATTTTCTTTCTTGTTAATACCGTTATAATGTATCCACCAAGACTGTAGTCTATTTTATAGACTATCATATGTATCGAAAATAACTTAAAACCGAGTCGAAACGTTTATAGATTATAGTGTATAATTTATGCGCGTTACCAATAATACTTCAGAAAAAGAATGATTCGAGAATCGTGATAAATTTCTGACAAGAGTTTATTCTTGGAACTATAGATAATGATTATATAGATAAATATTATATATGGCTTCTTACATTACTTATTATACAATTTAGACAATTATATTATTTCCTTTTTAAAATCATTTATACAGTATTTTATTAATTGTTCTGGATGAGGCTCCAATAATAATTTAAAACAATATTAAATATGTATGTATACGTTTCTTTTTTAAACAATAGGTATTTCTGGTTCTACTTGAATTACCAACAGATTTGGAACTCCTTTTAATTAACGTTCAAGCATTTCCCATGTCTTGATCTCCAAAGATTTTTGCAATGGGTCAGAAATGACCCAGGTGCGTTACGATCAATTATCAAATTTCCGCCATCGTAGTGTCTCGATATCGCGCGAAAATTGAAAACTAGCTTGAAATATGTTCGATGAAAAAAACCAACCGTTACATCATTGCAACGGGTCGTTATCAGTGATTTACGATAAGCTGAGCATAGATAGCCGTCGACGCTGTTTACCGATACCACATATGTTCGAAAACATTCGATATCTGTCGCGACGTTCTTTTGAATAGAGACCTTGCCCTTGCATTACGGAAACACACAGAGATCAATGTTTTTCAAGCACAGACGACCATTACGCTGATGCGATTGTAACACAAAATTATTTTATTAATTCATTTATGCGCTTTAATAAAGATTCTATATTCAATACAGAATCACGCGATATGGGCTATAATATAAAAGAGTGTCTTAATAAATCATAATATCACAAGCATTAATTAGTATCGTTATAGTTATTTCAATCCATCACCAACGCTATGTATCAGATAGAGTTAACGGTAAAGGAGTCTATTAGATTATGGGATTTGTAAAAGAACAAATTCACATTAAATACGTTATACGAAATATTCTGTATTTTAAAGAACACGAAAGGATGTCGTTGCTCTTCTAGATTCGAACTGAGACCGACAGCTCTTTCAAAAGCGCATAGGAAAACCGGCTTGGGTCTGCCGCATGTTTTTCACACTGCCCTCTTAAACATAAATACTGTCAGAGGCCGAACTACGAAAGGCATCAGAAAAGAAACTTTCACTTTTGAAAAAAGCAGTGTCTCTCAACTCTAGATTTATTTTTGTTACGTTTATTATTAAATAAACCAACAGGGTCTTTGGAGTATCGATAACAAGAGCCCTCCATTGACAGAGTCTCAGACAGATGTTCCTTTTACTCCATACGATATCGCAGCACAGGGTTAGAAAAGAGCCTCGGTAATCGACGTTCGCACGACAATTACCCAACTCGTAATTCTCGTACCATGAACAGCGTCTGTAAACGTTTATACGATTGCCAAGCATCGCCATCTCCGGACGATAAATGTTCGTCGGACGTCGCGAGTTTCGAAATTATGCCGATTTCAACGGCCAGTTCGAAACGCGCGACCCGCCGAATAATTGAAATCACAAATCGCCGCGGGACGGTCGCGAGAGCAGCACGTTCTAATAAATTTCGAAAACAATTTCGTTGCGAACAGAGAGCCCCCAGAGGAGGAAGCCGCGTCGGAGGGACAGCGAGCCGGAGAATGGGGGAACAATCTCGTCCCGAAATTTCCATAAAGGCGAAAACGAAGGAAATCCGTGGCTGCAGTCACTGTTAATTTTTCATCAGACCTGCACTTAACTGCAGCTTAATTTCGTGTCTCGCGAGGATGATCGTGCCCCGTCGCGACGAGTTTAACGTAAAAGGACAACGAAAGGGGTCGGATAGAAGGAACGTTCGTCTCCGGGGGCTTAAAAGGTGTCGAGGCGACTTTTCGCCAAAGACCTGGGGCTTTTCGAACCATTACTTTTTATTGGATCGTCCAGATCGAACCTTCCCCTTCTAGTCTCTCGCCTTCCGACGACGACATCCTTCGATCGTATCCCGCTCTCGCGACAAAAGCATTTCGTTCTGTCGCGGCTCGCCCCGCTCCCAGCTGTTCGATATCGCGGGATACTCTCTGTGAAAAAGACGCTTCGAGCCGTTTACTGCTGACGCGTCGGGGAAACTGTGGCGAAAGCTTCCGGTGAAAGACGATCAAGATGACTGTGTCGGAAGTAGGGGTCGCGTTGTGTACGCCAGTGTCGATAGACTCCCGTGCTACGAGGTGTCGTGGCGGAGTAAAGCTTTTTTCCTTTCCTGAGCTTTGGAATTTACCAAAAGTATTCGACGAGAGGTTCATTCAGGAGTGACGTATTATTTAACAATGGCGGTTCGTGTATCGTTTTACACAGATTTCTCGGATAGTCGTACAGTTAAACTCGACTAATTTTCACAAAATTTTCGCAAAAGCTTGACAATCCTACAGTAGGCCGTTGTATGGTCAGTTCTTGGTGTACACTCTTTTGCGACTCAAGTAGACGCTGAGTCGTCCTACCTGAAAAACTATTAGGATTCGAGTGGTTCGAGAAAGCTTACGAAGCCTCAGGGGCTGTAGCATGCGTGTACGCAGCTACAGTACGGGCTTAGCAATCCCGAGGTACCCGAGCTAGAAGGGAGTTAGCAGGACCCCACAGATACGAGAGTTAAGAGATACTGCGAATGTTATTAAAACAATGCAGAAGTCATGTAAGACAAAGTAATGAGGAATGGAAATATTATTTAAAAAGAGTGTAATAACTATTGTATACGGTTACACGCTTTAATAAATAACGGAACGGATTACGAAGATAATTGTTGTGGAGTCTTGCGGGAACAATCCAGTGTAATTTCAAGGTTTCGTTTTGCTTTTGTTCGAGACCTTCCGGTGGACAATTCTGCCGAACTCAACTCTTTCGGTCATTACTGTCGCGCAGAGTACGAATTTAGTCGTAGAGTGACCGAGTCCACCTGCTATCTTAATTATTGTGTTTCTTAAATATATTGCCTCTGTGGATAGCATAAAATCTGAGTATTTTATTTACCGAAATATTCAACAATAAAAAATACAAATATTAACTTTTTATCTGTACTTACATTTGTATCAGAGGTACCCATAAGTTATATTCTTTTCAAATTTTGTAGATACTGCCATGTACCGACAATAATTTAAATTCAAACAACATAACCCATATTTTAATTAAATACATTGATATTTACTGTGTTTGAGAAGAGTATATATTCTCCCGTTGGTATACTATTGTTTCAGATTTATGGAACATTTTTTTCGCCAGAAACATATCCTTCTCCAAACATTGCATTTGAAGAATACTTTACTTCGACATGACCGACACTTTACAAGAAGAGAATAGAAAGTTTGACTCAGAGGTGGGCAAAAATCGTTGATAACGTTGAAATTATATTTTAGATTGAAACTGTAATAATTCTTAATTAATTGTATATTATTACAATGTATTGTATGGGATGTTGCGGGCTCTGCTTTATCGGTTGTAAACCTCGTCATCCTGCAAATTATGATTATCGAGTATTTTACTACGTTCGTCTTTCTTTGGAAAAGTTGCAGGCTCTGTGGTGCACTGAAATAATTACCCGGTAATGTAACGTATATAATTTTTCACGCTGAAGAATATTAGAACATGGTTGTCCAAATTCTTATATAATACATTCGCCTTCTAATTCAAATCCAAATTTGTATTCGCCGCGTAATCCAGCCGTTTCAACTGTTTTTCCTCGCGGGCCTTTTGGAAAAGAAAATATTTCACGGATTATATCGAGCACAGATGAGTATAAAATTTTTAATTCTTTATGACGGAATCTTTGTTAAAAAATATAAAAGTATCGAGAATTCGTTCGATTAATTGCTGAAAAGTTAAATGATAATATTGAACATACGCGGGCCGTATGTTGGCCATGCTTGGCGTGACCGGATAGACAGTTATCTATCTTTCATTCGTTACTCAAAACTTGTACTCGGTTAAATATTTCGCTCATCTCTGGCACGAATACGATCCGTCAGTAGTCCGCAGACAGCGGCGCGAATTTTCCCCCCAAGTCCGAAGCCACGATTCGGCGTGGTTCCACTGCCGGAATATTACACGATAGGGGAGACGCATGGGCCGGCTGGTATCATCTGTCAATCAGACGCGGAAGAATCGTGAAAAAAAAAAAGTGAAAAGTGCACACGACCCGACAGCCATGTTGCGATTTTTCCGTGCGGTACAGGAGGCATTATTTCCAGCATCGGTTTTGTGCTTCCCGGCCATTGAACTACACTCCGCCTACACCTCCTCTTCCAAAACCCCAACCATTCCGTCCCGTCAGCGATCCATGTCACGTTCGACATTCACAATTCTTTCGAATCCATCGTTCACCATCTAGCGTCTCAGGTGAAAGATTATTTCGGGAACGACAGAAGATTCTCCGTGTAAAAGACTGTAAGGGCGACTTGAATACAGTAAAGATTGGATAAGTGCAAGAAAATCGGGACACAAACGTTGGAGTTATCTAGTCGAGGTTTCTATTCTGTGTTTACATTTGGTTCGAGTCGAGCATGGAACATAGAAAAGAACAGAGAGTGAAAGAGAAAAAGCTCCGAGGAAAAAAAGCAGTCGGCAGAAGCGTAATTAATCGGCTAGGATCATTTGGAACTGTTCAAGGAGCAATCTCCCTCCCTCCCAGTGGTGGGGATAGTCATCTTGCATTTATCCAGTCGATCCTGTCTTGCACTTATCCAGTCTTTACTGTATTGTTTTACTG